ATATAAAGTGATCCCGCGGAACGGACTGCCGTAGCGAAAGGGTTAAATACTCCAATTAATATCATCAGATTTATAATTGAAGATTCATAATGGATTCTTCAATCTTAAAATTGTATTATTTATACGCTGTAAAGTCGGTGTTGTATGCATGATGTTAAATAGAAGGAGGGAGGTGAGAAATGGAAGAGCCGGGTGTCCCAGTAGCATACATTATCCCGTTTCGGCTCCGCCTTTTCGTCCCCCGGTTTCTCTCGCACCCTTTTCTCTCCTCCGTGTTCCCATCGCCGTCTCGTCCTCCCGCGGACGAAAGCCTTCTTCCCCTCGGTTTCCACGCATAATCACGCATTTGCATGCAAACTCGATATCACTACTTAAAATGTAAAACAACTCGCGCGAGTACTCGCCAGGTTTCCTCCGAGAAAAGCGAGCGACAAACTGCCGGTGAAAATGGACGCGGCCGGTGGACGGGGGAACGTCTAAATAAAAGAATCGTCGCCGCGGCGACAGTCTCACCCGGCGAATAGCTAATTCACGGTCACGGGATTGGCTCCCAGCCGATTTCCAAGTGAAAAGAAATTCATGTTTCTCAAGACTGGTTTCTTTCCGCCGAATGCATTACACTCGGAATTTCGTCTCACGAATGCGAGGAATTAAAATCAGCAGGCGACGTAATAAATATTTTTTTCTTTTTACAAAATACACGCATATATTGTGCTGTGCTATTCTGAATATGTAAATAACTCGCGGAAAAATACTGTTTCAAATATGCGCGGCGTATGCATCTTGAAAAACCGAGAACACTTCGAGATATTCATATTTCATGTAATTATTTCCACGCTTGGCTGATAGCGGGGCGGATGCGGAAACAATGCCGTTTTGTCTGCGAGGACGTCGAACTTTCCGCGAAACAAAGCCACGCGGATGGGCAAGAAGGCAGCGTCGTCGTGCAGCAGAAGAGACGTTGTGTCACTCAGGAAATACGGAAAAACGTTTAACCCCCCCTCCCACTATCCGCTTGCACCCTCGATTATCCCGACGAGCAAACGTTTCGCAGCATGATTCGAGTTCTATGAAAGGTCGTTCGAACTTACCTAATCCTGCGTGTCCGAAGCAGAACAGGCAGCCATCCGTTCCATTGATCACCGCGTGTATCACGTCCGTAAGAGCACTCGAGCAGATTTCGGTCTGGAAAATAAAAAAAAAATATCGTACGTTGCACTGAAAAATGTTTCATGAATTTACAATGGAAACTGCACTTATGATAATAACGAGAATCTGCGCGAGACCGTCGAGTACGCTAATAACGATGGACAGGATGTAATTAAAATTGTTCCTACGGTAAAAGAGAATAGAACTCATCGGTCGGGACATAATAGGGTTGTTTTTCCACTCGCACGGGCGATAATTGATATCAATTTGGTTATCCCAAGTGTCGGTGCCGGGGCAAAGTTATTTAACGGCGAGCAGGGCGAGAGGAACAGGCTTTCGAGCACGACGGACGCGATTTTAATTGCTCCTCATCGTCGCGGGGGTTCCTCTCGTCGCCGGGCGGCGCGGGGCAGTGAAGGCACGCCAGGACTTTCGAGGGTAACGACGAAGCTTAACTTAAAGTGCTTAAGAAAGCGTTTGCGGGACGGTTTAATAAACGCGCGTTACGCGAAGCCGGTTACGGCCGAGAAGGAGAGAAGAACGCGAGAAGATTACGGGAGGAGGCGGCGGCTTTGTTTGCTTTTAATATATTCATAGACCGGAAAAGTCTTTTCTGAGCTCGAGAGAGAGGAGGAACCGTCCTTCCTCCGTTCTTTCGCCTCTAGGTTTCCCTCGTTACGCGAGCTCGCGAATCGCGAATTACGATTTCGATTCGAAGAACTGCGAATACGTCAGAGGGGAGGGTGGAATTTCCTGCGGAAGCTAATGTTCGACGAGCCTGCGAACTCGATTCGTTCCCTGATCGAGATACAGACATCGACTGGCTCTTTTTACCATTCGCAAGGGTTAGCAAACGCTTCCGCGGCCAGGAAGGGGCGCGGATCGAAACAGGGTGAACGAGTGAAAGTAAGAGGGACGCAGGGTGAGAGAGAATAGGGGAGCAGGTCGCCGGGAATATCGAGAGGAAGATGAGGACGTGTCGATACCTCGGCCAAACAAGATTGAAATCTTCGCGGACGAGAATCGGATGAATCTCGGGGCCCGAGATGGAAAAGGGGAGATGAAAAGCTGGATGGTGAAACGAGAGAGCTTCGTCGAGGACGGAGAGAGCACCGCGCGGAAGAATCGCGCGCGGAGCAAAGCGTAGCGGACCGATTCGGATGGAGGGAAATCCTCCGGACTGCGTTCCTCTTCTCCTTTTTCCCTCTTTTTTTTCCTTCGAGAGGAAACGGAAATAAGGAGTCCAGTCCCTCCTCCAATATGGTAATTCCAATCTGTCGTTGCTCGTTTCAAAGCACGCTCGCCGGGAAGAAACGAATCTCCTCTTTTCTGGCCGGGGACGGGGGGGGGTTGGGTGAACGATTTCGATCGACGGGAAACGGGATCCGCGATTTATCTCCGCTTTAATCGCGGAAAACGATCTGAGCCTCGAAAACGCGCCGGGAAATCCCCGCCGGGATTAAAGGGAAAGGGGGACGACGCGCGAGGGGCCGGTTGGAAAGAGGCGAAGAAGAGGTTCGCGGGACAACAAGGACATTCATAATTATAACGGGATCATCCCGGGGGGGATGTAACGCAAAGCAAACATATTTCGCGGCTACCTGCACCCTCGAGAGGGATCCGGGGTGCGCGGCACCCCTCGCCGGAAACCGACGGGCGGCATCACGGTTAATGAAATACGTGACCGAAGCCTCCGTCATAATCTCAAACACTTGATTCCGCGATCCCGCACGGAATTGAGAGGAACCGGAGGGTTCGCCGCGCGGAAAACATCCCCTCGCCCCGGTCCTCGGCTGCTCCTCGCAAGCGCGTTCGATTCGAATTCCATTTCGCTCGGCCGATTTTAAAATATCGCGTTCGCCAGCAATTTTTTTTAAACCCTCCGTCGGTTCAGTGAAATGCGGATCGTAATGAAAACGCGCGAACGACCGAACGCGCTAATAACAACGAAATAAATGGAGTTCATTAAAATTCGAGGCTCGACGCGTCGGGCGCGATATCGGAGAAAATTGAGGACGGCTGCGACACCTGTTTCGACGCGTCGGCGTAGGCATCTGGAAACTTGCGAATTAAGAGATTCGGAAGAGGGCCGTTCGATTATTTCCAGCCATTAAAAGGGCTCTCTGCCGGCAACACGGGCAATCGCGAGCCCTTCCCGAACTTTCTTACACGAGTTTTACATTTCACCGAGCTAGGGTGGCGACGATGGAAGAAAAGAAACCAGAAGTGGTAGAAAGGGAGAGGCAAGGAGGCAGTTGGAAGTTCCTTCGCCGAGTAAGGAGCTTGTCTTGGCCCACGACGACCTACCCGCACGCCCATCCCCTCGCCCCGTCATTGGTATTCTACGCAACGGCGCCAATATTGCGTTACCAGGACGCGTCCTGCAAAGTAAAATCGACGCGACGGCAGGCCACCGCATGACACCCGACGCTTGTAAGTCACACCGCGACGCCTGCCTCCCCCGCGCACTCCCTTTTAATTTGCACTCGGCCGAAATTAATGTTCGCAGCCCCTCGCCTTCATAATAGAGACCTCTGCCCGATTTTTTTCAATCGTCCCTTAAACAATTCCAGAGAAATTCTGACTTCACCCCCCGGGGCCCCCTGAGCCACCCCCTCTCGAAGAGTAATCGCGAAATGGAAATGAGGGTGGCTCTTATTGATATCGGTTATCGTTCAATTTACTCACGGCAGTCGAAGGGTTGTTTATCCTCGGCCTCGAAGAATCCTGCGTAACGGAAATGGATGGAAAGCGTGTTTACACAAAACGAGGAGCGAACGCGTTGTGATTTATGCCGGATGGGCCCCGGAACGGGTCGGATCGGTCATTGTGATAGACGTTAATGAAGTTACTCCGGCTCGCGGAAAATCACGTTTAATTCAAATTATCTACGGCACTGGGGCGATGATGCGCCCGACGCTGCGCTTCGCCCGGCGAAATAATATCCGTCAGTGTAATTACCATCGGTAAATTGCGCGAACGTTACGTTAGGTTACGTCCGAAATTACGTTCGGTCGTGGCGAAAATTGGCCAATCTAAATAATTACAAAAGCCCGGCGGCGGGCATAAAAACGTCGGAATTGGGAAACGTCGATAGCAAAAATTACAAAAATATCCGAACGACGCTGCGCGCAGTACGTTTGAAACTGCTTTTAATTTCGTTCGAAATTCACGGACCGCATGCGTGATTGACACGCGTGCTACCCGTTACAATTCGTTTGAATAAGTTACAGCGGTGCACAATTTTTATCGCTCCGGCCGTTCGCGCGACGCGCCCACTCACATAATATCCCCCAGTTTCCAATAACAACTCACAGCGGCAGTAACAAACATAGAAGCAATAACGGAACACGCGTAACGGTCTGGTTACGATAATCCTATGCAGCGCGCGTATACATGGAAGTAAAATCAAATAGAAAAAAAAATGCGCGCGACAGAGAAATAGAGAGAGAGAGAGAGAGCACAAGATGATAGCGTCCGCAGAAAGTATACGGTTTCCCATTTGCATGTAGACGCGCAGCTGCGTCGTTCGATGAAAACCGTATCAAAAACAAACAGGCCTGAGGGGGTGCTTTTCCCGGGCCCTCGTTTCCCTCGCGTCTACCGAGCGCCGATGCGTGGCGCGACGCTCGCGCGGAAACGCGAGCGTTCACGAGCCGATAATTCCGAAAATTGCATCGCCATATGTCCTGTGACATCCGGTTTTTGTTCACCGCACCGTGATCCGGCGACTTATCCGCTTATAAACAAATTCCGATTTCGGTCCACCGGGAACCAGCCAGTGCCGCGTTCCGGGAAATCGAAGCCGCTGAACGAGGAATTTCCAGACTCTGAACGACGCGACGGGGGTGTACAACTTTTTCTCTGCGCCAACGAAGACGAGGCTGACCGCGTGGCTTCCCAATGCGGAAACGTCGATAAGCGACGCTGGCCAGTGAAATACGTCGCGATTTACACGGGAGATTGGCGCGATAGGCGGTCGTCGGGGGGGTGCGCGCGGAGTGCAACAACCCTCCTGTCGATGCGTCGAAACAAAAAAGCGCGGTCAGGAAATTCAACGCTCTCGGTTTGACCAATGCAAAATCGAAATCGTTAGTAACCCTATCCACGTTTCAACCCGCGGTCCCTTTACCACCGATTTCCGGTTGCTTGTTAAAAATAATTAAGAGAGATTCGGCCGGGGAAATAGGAAAATCGCTTTTTTCCACCGATGACTTTTCCTAACGAGCGGCAGGGATCGCCGGGCGGAAAAGCCCGATCTCTCTGCGTTGAAGTGACGTCTCGCTTTCGGGGTAACTGACGGCCGTCGGACACCTGTCAAACTTCATCAGCCCGGCTCCCGAAGCGGCTCGTGGCCGGAATTAATCTTACTGTAATATGGAAATGAGAAGGACCAAAACCTCGTACAGTCTGTTTCGTAAGACCATGCCAACGGTACATCTCTCAAAATCATATAGTCTCTACTTTACTAAATCAGATTACATTTAAAAAATACCGAGATTATTTAAGACACAATTTATGCTACCGTTTTTAACATAATAATTGATTGCTTTCTGGATTTTAATACTGTGGCGATAGCCGTGTTTATTAGGCCAAGTTTGAAAGCGAAGATGCAGCGAGGCATCTGTTTTTCTTCGTTCTTAACGCCTAATATCTACTTCTCCGAATATCCCCACTCATGGGATGTATAATGTTTTTAAGGGATGAGGTCACGTCGTCTTGAGGGCGTAGTCACTTCGAGTACGACTGAGCCGAGAGACAGACCTCAGTGATTTTTGTTGAGTTTTTGTTATTAATAAATTGACTTTTAATTATACACTTATCATTTATCATTAAAACCCACCAATATTCCAAAATACAAATTTCCTTGACTATACCTGAGAAAATCTGGACTTATAAATACAGTCGAGAAAGATATTAAGTCTAACATACTCCAAGATGGAACAACTTTTTTAATATCGAACCAAACGTCATACTTTGCCATAGGAAAATCGGTTAACGTTGTTATTAAACCACAAACGATAAAAAATAGAGAG